TTGAGAAGGCAAGCAACTCAATACAGGTTATACTTGTATAGTCATGTAAAACACTTCCATAGAAGTCATGCTGTAGAAAACTAACTATATTTCCCTTCATCCTATCCCACCCCCCATTTATTCTATTCTCTCTTTTGATCCTGTCCCTCCTTAGAAATGTTTTCTTCTGATTATCCCCTCCCCCAATCTGGCCTCCCCTCTATCATCCCCCCTGCTCTCTTATCCCCTTCCCCCCTATTTTCCTGTAGGGTAAGATAACTTTCTACACCCAGTTGAGTGTGTATGTTGTTCCCTCTTTAAGCCAGATTCAATGAGAATAAGATTCACTCATTCCCTCTCACCTTCCCCCACTTCCCCTCCACTGTAAAAGCCTTTTTTTGTCTGTTTTATGTGAGATAATTTACCCCATTCTACCTCTCCCTTTCTCCTTATTCCAGTATAATCCTCTCTCACTCCTTAATTTTATTCTCCAGATATCATCCGTTCATCTTCAACTCACCCTCTGCCCTCTATTAATCTATCTATACATATAATTTTTTCCCTCCAAATACCCTAATACTGACAAAGGTCTCATGAGTTACAAATATCATCTTTCCATGTAGGAATGTGAACAATTCAACCTTAATAAGTCCTTTATAATTTCTTTCCTGTTTACCTCTTCATGCTTCTCTTGAGTCTTGTATTTAAAAGTTGAATTTTCTATTCAGCTCTGGTCTTTTCATCAAGAATACTTGAAAGTCCTCTATTTCATTGACTATTCATTTTTTCCCCTGAAGGATTATACTCAATTTTGCTGGGTAGGTGATTCTTGGCTGTAATTCTATCTCCTTTGCCCTCTGGAATATCATATTCCAAGCCCTGCGGTCCCTTAGGGTAGAAGCTGCTAAATCTTGTGTTACCCTGATTGTGTTTCTACAATACTTGAATTGTTTCTTTTTGGCTGCTTGTAATATTTTCTCCTTGACCTGGGAACTCTGGAATTTGGCTACAATATTCCTAGAAATTTTCCTTTGGGGATCTCTTTCAGGAGGTGATCGGTGGATTCTTTCCATTTCTATTTTACCCTCTGGTTCTAGCATATCAGGGCAATTTTCCTTGATGATTTCTTGAAAGGTGATGTCTAGGCTCTTTTTTTGATCATGGCTTTCAGATAGTCCAATAATTTTTAAATTATTTCTCCTGGATCTATTTTCCAGGTCAGTTGTTTTTCTAATGAGATATTTCACATTGTTTTCTATTTTTTCATGCTTCTGAATTTGTTTTACAGTGTCTTGATTTCTCATAAAGTCACTGGCTTCCAATTGCACCATTCTAATTTTTAAGGAAGTATTTTCTTCAGTAAGGTTTTGAACTTCCTTTTCCATTTGGCCAATTCTGCTTTTTAAGGCATTCTTCTCCTCATTGACTTTTTGGACCTCTTTTGCCATTTGGGTTAGGCTATTTTTTAAGGTGTTATTTTCTTCACTATTTTTTGGGGTCTCCTTTAGCAAGCTGTTGACAAGTTTGCATGTTTTCTTGCATCACTCTCATTTCTCTTCCTAGTTTTTCTTCTACTTCCCTTACTTGCTTCTCAAAATCCTTTTTGAGCTCTTCCATACCCTGGGACCAATTCATATTTTTCTTGGAGGTTTTGGATGTAGAAGCTTTGACTTTGTTGTCTTCTTTTGGTTGTATGTTTTGATCTTCTTTGTCACCAAAGAAAGATTCTGTGGTCTGACTTTTTTTGCACCTTTGTTTGCTCATGATTCCAGCCAATCACTTGAGTTTTAAACTGTTTGTTAAGGTAGGGGTCTACTTCCAGTGTGGAGAATGTACTGTCCCAAGCTTTGGGGGTTTTGTGCAACTGTTTTCAGAGATACTTCTAGGGAACTGTAAGTTTTCAGTTCTTCCAAGGTGATACGATCAGGAGCGAGGTGTTTACTCCTTTCCTGGCCTGTGCTCTGGTCTATGAGTAATCACAAGCACTGTTTTCTGCCTTGGAACTGTGAGGAGGATTTCCTTTCCATTGCCACCACAAGCTCCACCACACCAGCACTCTTCCTTGCCCCAGGACTGCCACCCAGAGCTGTGACTCAGATCCAAGCACAGGCAAAGCAAGAGAATCTTGCCCCAGCACCAGCAAAGAGATCCCTGCAGTTCCCCTCTGATCAGCCACTCAGTTCCTCCTCAGTCAGTGGGCCAGAAGCTCTGGAAGCAGCCACCTCTCTGGGGCTGCGTCAGGACTGTGGCTGGAACTAAGCTTCTCTCTCACGGTGGTCACAGACTTTTCCTACTGACCTTCTAAGTTGTCTTTGGCATTTGTGGGTTGAGAAGTCTGGAAACTGCCGTAGCTGCCTGTGATTCAATACTCTGAGGCCTGCTCCAGGTTTGCCGAGGCCTGGCCTTTGCCTGCGTGGCCCACGCTGAACTGCGTTTCTCTTCCAGTCTGGTGCGACAGAATTTTCTAATCAACCGTCCAGGTTGTCTTGGGCTGGAAATTTGTTTCACTCTGTCTTTTTGTGGGTTCTGCTGCTCTAGAATTTGTTTTGAGCCATTTTATACAGGTATTTGGAGGGGTTTGGGGGAGAGCTCAAGCCAGTCACCACTTTTACTCTGTCATCGTGGCTCCACCTCCCAGCAAGCATTTATTTAACACTTACATTGTGCCATGAGCTGTGATCAGTTCTGGGGTTACAAAGAAAAAGCAAAAACAAGACTTGCTCTCAAAGAGCTTACAATCTGTAATGGAATACTATTGTGCTATAAGAAATGATGAACAAGAAGACTTCAGAAAAACCTGGAACTACTTGAATGAACTGATGCCGAGTGAAGTAAGCAGAACCAGGAGAACATTGTACACAATAACAGCCACATTGTGCGATGACTAACTTTGATAGATTCATCTTTTCTTAGCAATGCAAGGATCCAAGATAACTCCAAAGGACTCATGATGGAAAATGCTGTCCACATCCAGAAAAAGAACTATGGAGTCTGAATGTAGATCAAAGCATATTATTTGCTTTCTCTCTCTTTTTTCTTCTTCTTTTTTTTTTGTTTGTTTCTTCTTTCTCGTGGTTTCTCCCATTGGTTCTAATTCTTCTTTACAACATGACTAATGTGAAAATAGGTTCAATATGAATGTATATGTAGAGCCTATATCAAATTTCACGCCATCTTGGGATGGGGGGGAGAGATGGCGAAAAAATTTGGAACTCAAAATCTAATGTTGAAAACTAAAAAATTAATTTTAAAAAAGAGCTTACATTGTAATGAAGGAGATGAGAGATATGTAAATGTGTGTGTATATATATATATATTTATATACGCACACATACATACACAGAGTAGATACATGGCAACCTTAGAGGGAATGGAGGTTGGTGCTATGACACTGGAACTCAGGAGAGAGTAGGACTGAATAGAAATATAATTGAATCCAGGGGGAGTTTATGAGATCACCAAATAAGAGAGTATATAGAGAGAAGAATAAAGGGGCCAGGTAGAGCCTTGGGAGATATGAGTTTGTGAATGTCACGGGATAAAAATCTAGCAAAGGAGGCTTGAGAAGGAGCAGTCAGGTAGGAGGAAAATCAAGAAGGATCAGTGTCACAAACACCCAGACAAGAGTACTCAGGAGGAGAAAGTAGTCAACGGTGCCTGGTTCTGCAAAGAGGTCAAGAAGGATGAGGGCTGAGGACTTCGGGTGTTTTTGGAGAGAGTGACTCCAGCAGATGGAAAGCCAGATTGCAGTGGATTTAGAAGAAGGTTAAATGAGAAGAAGCAAAGGCTTTTTGAGGAGCTTACCTAAGGAGAAACGAGAGACAGGATGGTGTCTAGTGAGGATGGCAGGATTAAATAGGGGTTTTTTAGGGGTGTGGCAGACCTGTCATATTTGTGGGCACCAAGGAAGGAGCCAGTACATAACAAGAGGTGTGTGTGTGTGTGTATGTGTGTGTGTGTGTGTGTGTGAGAGAGAGAGAGAGAGAGAGAGAGAGAATGGTAGTGGTAGAATTCTGCTGGGGAAGAAAGAAGAGGATAGGATCAAAGGTGGAAAAGTGCTGGCCTTGGTAAGCAAAAGGCCCAGCTCTTCATCTGGGATGGGAATGGAGGAAGAGATAATGGGGCATGATGTCAGAGGAATGTGATATGAGGAGGAAGAGAGAAGAGAAAGCCTCTGGCAAATGGCCTTATTTTTTGAATGACTTTGCAAGCCTCAGCTGAGACAGCAAGGAGAGGGGCTGCTGTGGGAAGGTAACAAGAAGGTGCGGAATAGTTGTAGCAGCAGGAAAGGGGACAGAGAAAAAGAGGGACTGCTAACATTTTCCTAATGCTTCAAAGCTTGCTAAGCACATTATATGTCTTGTCTTTGTTGGGTCTCCCAATAACCCTAAAGGGCAAGTACTGCAGTGATTTTTGTTGTTGTTCAGTCGTGTCTGACTCTTTGTGACCCCATTTGGGGTTTTCTTGGCAGAGATACTAGACTGGGTCACCATTTCCTTCTCTGGTTCATTTTACAGATAAGGAACTCAGGCAAATAGGGTTAAGTGACTTGCCCAGGGTCACACAGCTAGTAAATGTCTGAGGCAGGATTTGAACTCACAAAGATGAATCTTCCTAACTTCAGGCCAACACTCTATCCACCGAGCCACCTACCTAGCTGCCCTAGGTGGAGATGTGTCCATGCTCATGTAGGCAGTAAATGTCAGAGTTCAGGTACAAACCCACCTGTGTCTTATCTCCAGGCCCAGGGCCCTTTCCACCACAGCAGGGTTATAGTCTCTTCTATAAGCAATGAACTCATGAGAGGAAAGGAGATTTCTGAAAGGAGAAGTTAGCAATAGAAAAAAGGAACTGACCTTAGGACGCACCTGTATTTAGGGAGTGGGAAGAAATAGATTAAAGACCGAATGGCTGAAGGATGGGAAGAGGGAGGAGAGGTTCAAGAAGCGGCTAATCAGCAGTGGCCAATGTGTTACCTTCATATGTAATATAAGATCTTCTCTTCCTTTCGCCCATCTCAGTCTTATTCAGGCTCATCTTGGATGCCTTCCCCTTCAGGATTTTGCTTTGACACAAGACACAGCTAAGATCTTCAGAAGTGGCACAAGAATTACAAAATGTAGGATAAAGTTTAATGTGATTTCTTGATACTTTTTACTAAATTAGAATATAATAATCTATGACCAAAAATACCTCTCTTCTTTTAGGGTTATCAGAGTATCTGGCAGCACAAGAAAAGAAGTTTGCAGTCCTCTTAAATAGTTTGATTTTAGCTAAATGCTTTCGGGCTAAACTTTGGGAAAATTCTCTGCACGTTTCCAAACAGCTGGAAAAAATTGGTAGGTATGAAATAAAAAAAAAATAAGTTTGTAAATGGATATCAACAATTCATTTCAAATTACAGTTTTCAAAATCCAAAACAGTGTATACTTACTAGGTTAAATGAGATATCTTAATTTCTTCATGAAAACCTAATTTTTATTTACCTTTGTATAATTTGTGGTTACTTGGAGAAATTTGGAGAGGCTAAATAAAATACTTCTCTTTTTTTCAAAACAAGACTAGATTTTGCATTTGATTTGATCCTACGTTTTGCAATGTGTATTTTGTTTTCACCCTACTGACAAAGCACAGTGCTCTTGGCCATACCCGACTGCATCAAATCTGGTTGTCTACTTATGTCTCAGCATTCTCTCAGCATTCTCTCTAGTAATAAAATATTACTGCTTCCTTGGAGTCATAAGTCTTGGGTTCAAGTCTTTTTTATTAGTTTTGTGAGCCTGGACAAGTCATCTGATCTCCATGAGTCTCAGCCTCCTAGGTTATTGGCTTGTATCTATTAAAGGCCATTGAGCCAGAAGAGGGGGAGAGAAAGAATTAATTAAAGATAACCAAAACAAAAAGGAACTTCATTAAAAATGTTTTGTTTACTTTTTCAACAGATGATAATATTCAGCAAGTACAGTGAGTAAAAATATATTTTGTTCAATTAAGTGAGGAAGATAGAAGGATTAGTAAGAAAGAAGGAAGAGATAAATTAAAAGTGGGAGGAAACAAGCAGATTGACAAAAAGAGAGGTACTGTGTGGAGACATGCACATAGAATAAGAGAACCACAGGCAGAGCTAAAGATAGAGATGTGAGCATGGTCAAGAAGAGATCACAACGAGAGAGAAAGATAGACAGAAAGAGTAACACAGAGAAGAGACAGAGCCTCTGAGGCATACGGACCCTTGGGTGGAGCAGTACTACCATCTTTTGAGTTCTTTGGTAATCACCACTTCAGACTACAAATGATGTTACATTTTCTCACTCATAGGCACTAATTCATCACCTCTTAATACTTGCCCTGTTAGTGATTAAAATAGTCTTCCTTCTCTGCTGAAGAATGAAACCAAATTTTTTTTACTATTAAAAATAAATATGAATAATACCTGAAAAATTTTGGTCATAATCTTGCAAAGAATTTAATCACCTACCTGAAAAGTTTTCAAAATTAAAATTGTCTTTATCTCATTTTTCATTCATATACTTGTTAAATGTTGATAGAATGAATTTTATTGGAAATAGTTGATTTAAAAACCATATTCTGTTTAATTTTCCACAGGTGTCACATTGTCCAATGCAATGGTAAACGCAGGTCTGACTTCCTTTAAGAAAATAGAAGATATCAATGCCAGAGAACTCGAGCTGGTATTTAATATTCATTTATTTTGAATACCGCCCAAAACATAACTTTTACATTTTTATTTCTTTTAAAAATACTGTTCCTCTCTAGGGTAATTTTTACAAAATATTTTGAAATTTTTTAGTTTTATAAGCGCTAAATGCTGTTAAAACTTATGAATATGAACAATATTCTGCTTAGAAGATTTTAGTTATTTTAGTCAAATGTAGTGATGTTAATATTTTCAGATTTTAAATAGACATCCCCCTTTTGGAAACCAAATCAAGGAAACCGTGATACATCTACCAAAATATGAACTCGAAGTTGAGCAGGTATATTCCTCTCTTTTCTTAAATCTTTTTTATCGTCTGTTTCTTTAAAAACAACAGCCAGAACAAAAGAGCCCATATTAATGTGTGACTTAGTGGGGGGATGCCCCAAATCCTGCCAAGGTCACAGTAATGCAGCTTTCCTTAGCACAGCCCTGAAGCCAGATATGAGAATTATTTCACTTATAACACTTTCGTGACTGTTTTTTTTAAGATTTCAAGATACAATAACATGGTAGCTGAAATCTTAGTGACCGTCTTCCTAAGAAACTTTGAGCAGCTTCAGACTAAAAGAACAGCACCAGATTCTCACTATGTGACGCTAATAGTGGGAGATGCAGATAACCAAGTGGTTTTTAAACATAAGCTTATGTAAGTAAAAAGTATCAGATTATGTGGTTTTTTAATAATGTGATTTTTTTTAAAAAGATGTACTCAGCAAAAAGAGTGGGAAATAAAATTGTTGTGGAAACTATTAAATTGCATACTCTTGCAGATGAATTTCTCAATTTGACCTAAAGGAGATTTCAAAGAATGATAAAATTTTGTTCTGTTGTTTTTGACTATCCCAGACGGCAGTTGTGCAGTTATCAGCTGAATAGAGAATGAAGGGCCATTACTGTGGTCTGCAGTAGTGACAGGATGCTCTTCCCCTTGTTCCTTGAGCTATTAGAGCAAGATTTCTTGCCTTTCACTGCTTTGTTCTATATAAGGCCATCCAGATGCTTCCAATGGCTACTGTTAGTACAAAATCCTCCTCGCTCAACTCAGAATTTGTCCTATATTCTCCACACTAAAATCTGACATCCCTGCCATAGCCACTGTGCAGAATCTAGACAAAATGTATCTGGTGTATTACCATTCACCACTGCTAAACATCCAGCATACCATTTTTATTTTAATCATTTACCCTCAAGTTTTTCATGGAGGAACCAGTTACCTTTAAGGGTAAAGAAGGGAAGTGACTTTGACAAGGGAATTCCTTAGGCTGTTACCATGTTCATGGACCCCAACCCATAGGAAAGCAGCTTCCAAATATGAGTCAGGTGCGAGAATGCTAAAGGTTTTGTATTGACTGGCCCCTTGTGTTCCTATTGAAGATATTCCTGTATTCATTTCTGAATATTATCTCAAAATTCCATTATGGCTGTCTTTGAGAAGGCAACACAACTGGTCAGTTTAGTGTTAGGCTTAAACAGCTTAGTGACCTGTAGACAAAACAACATGTTGCTTGACAGAATTTTCACTTTTTAACCAGTTATGACATTGTGTAGACACAGTTGGTCTCATCAGTTTTTAAAATAAGAATGCAAATGTGATGTTTGTTTCTCACAAATGTTGCAGTTTATGAAAGTCTACCTCTGCTCAAATGAACTCTGCCCTAAAACCCACTACCTGAAATGAGTAATGAAATACTGCATTTTGATGTAGTTATCTTTATGCATCATATCTTCTCTGTTGAATTATAAATTCCTGGGGCTAAGGACCCTCATTTGTCTGTGTTTCTTCCATTGGTGCCTGTTATAGGCCCCGTACAAATGAATGGGTGTGGAAATAACTAGCTCTGGCAAATTGCAGTGTTTTTTTTTTAAGTTTGGTCGCTGAGTCCCTCATGGTGAGCACATATTCCCAGCTGACTAACTCACAGGCTACATCACCTCTTTCATGAGGCAGTCTAATATGTTCGTGCAGTAGTGTCATTGCAGGTAAGAAAGGGAGGGTAGAAAGTTATATGCCATGGCTTCCATTTCCTCCATCCCCAGAAAAGAAGAAAGCGAGTTATGAGAGTCATAAAATAAGCTTTTAGCACTGCAGGTGACCTCATTTAGAAACATTTCAGCCCCTGGTCATTAACTTGTATTTCATTCAATGCTTGCCTCATTTTCTTAAAAATATGTTCATATGTATTTCAGGGATTCTGTTCTACTAAAAACTGGAAGTTGGACTAAAAAAATTGATGTTAAAAGAACTCTCCAATCTGAAGAACTTAGCATTAATCTAATTAGTTCAGAATATGGTAAGTTAATTGAAATGAAAAAAGAATTAACTTCAAGTTTGACAAAAGTATTTTTATGTTGAGACATAAGAACAGTAAACATGACATTGTAAAAATACTGTATTTGCATAACATACTTGAACTTCAAAGACAACTCTGTGCATTAAATGAATTAGGCAAGAGTAACCAAAGTGTCAGTAAAATTCACAACCTAAAAATGAGGCTACACCCAGTATTTTAAGAAACAAGATAACCAAGTTCCAATTGCTGGGACAATTTTGTTTGGATTTCCTTATTTTTAGATAACATACAATTTTACCTGTAATATTGAATTTTTATAGTTTCAGGTGTTTGATTTATTTGGTTCTTTAATTCTCCCAGCTATGTTGAAGTGATAAAAATAAATAAATAATTTCAGATAAAATATTGTAAAATGTTTTCACCTTCTTACCTTATAGTAGGACTTGATATTCAAGAGAAGTTTACAGCCTTTTACTTAGGACCCAACAGACTTGAAAATCAAATGGTTATGCAAAGAAATTTAGAAACAGAGACACATTCAAGACATTCAGATGGCTCTCCAAGAGAAGATGCTGGTACAGGTAAATGACAATATCTTTACCAACTTTCTTTATTTATATTCTTCATGCTTCTTTTAGTACTGTTTTCCTTGATATTCTGAAGTTCTGAATGCTGGGGCATAGTTCGTACTTTGGAGAATCAGCGTGGTACAATATAGGCAGTCCCTAGATATAGGGTGTAGAGTAAACCTAAGTTCAAATTGCTCCCCTAGTACTAGCTTTTTGACTACAGGCAAATTATTAAACCTTTCTCAACCTCAATTTTCTCATATGTAAAATAGGTATAGTAATCCCTATATTGTACTTACCTCACAAAGTTGTTGTGAAGATCAAACAGTGCTTTTCAGCCTTAATGCCTTATATAAATGTCTCTGTCATTGCCCAGTAGAGCATAGAGATGGTTAGTGGGTTGTAATCAATGTCTTAGTTGGGGGCTCTAGGTTAAGGATTTGAAGCTTTGGAAAATTACTTAATGAAAATAATAGGAGCTCCCTGGTTGTATTCTTGCATATCACACATTTCTTTGTGTTTAGAAGGTGATTAGTAAATTATTTAATGAGTAGAGAGATAGTGGAAAGAAAATATGTTTTAGAAGTCAGAAGGTCTGTGCTTGAACCTGGCTCTGCTTCTTCTACATGTGTCAATACAAGTCACGTCATTTCTTTGGGCTTCACTTTTCTCATCTCTAAGAGATTGGACTAAATTATTTCTAAGGTCCCTTCCAACTCTAAATCCTATGAAACCTATGAATTAATGAATCAATTATAGCTGATATTTCTCAGGCAGCTATGAGAGCAGAGGTAAAGGATCTCGCATTCCAAGACCATCCCCATAAGCCTTAAAATCGTATTCCTCCATGTGGGGGAAAATCAAACTTATATTGGAAGCTTTTAGTATTAATGATACTAGCAGCCCCTCTTGTTCCCTCTTTTGCTAAGAAAAAAATTTTGTTTTGTGTAGGTAGAGTATGCCTCTCTTCAGGGATCTTAGGTGTGTTTTCTTATAGGTGTTATTACCACTTGCTTTTCCTCCTGCTGAAGTGAAGGGGTTCATTGGCAGTGATGGGAAAGTGCTAGGATCGCACCTCCCATCAAATTAACAAAACTATTCACCTTACCTCTCTCTGGACTATGATGGCATCAAGGACTTAGAATGAAGGAGAGTAGATGCAGGGATAAGACGACACTGGAGGGGCAGCGTCCATTAAAGCAAGTGTAGCCAGATCTTTCTACACCTACCCCTTTTACTTTAGAGTGGAGATGTCTTCTACATTTCTTTCTTCTCTTCCTAAAAGAAAAAAAAAACATCCTTTAGGATGGGGAAAAAGATTTTTTAAAATTGCCCATCTAGGGGGAAGGGCAGGGATACCATGCATGTACTTCCTGGAACAAGGACCCATAGCAAATACTATGATTGAGATACCCTTAGTTCAACTCTGAGGAAAATAGATAATGGTTGACAAGCCTATTTCTGATCAGGAAGAGGCTACAGATACAGAAAGGGAAGGGCCTTTCTAGATCAGAGGTCAGATTTCCTAATATGACCTAATATTCCTAAGATATAAATTCCTAAGATATTTCCTAATATGACCTAATATTCCTAAGATAAATGTGTCATAGAAATATCTGATCTGGGATCTGACCTCATCTCCAAGGGAGGTGGAATTTAGCCTTGTGAAGAATAGGAAGGAGTCTGTAGAAAAAGTCTGAAGAAGGAACTTGCTTTTTCCCTTGCCTATTTCCAAGAATGGTTTGGAGAAGAATTATGTCTATATGCTACACCTCAAATATTGGTAGGCTAGAGGGATGATACCTTGGGACTCAGATTTAATGCCACTTTGCCTGATCAGTCTCAAGGGGAAGCTAATAGTTTATTATCACTAGTTTAGCTCTCTCCCATCAATTACTGGTCACACAAAAGACCACCTTGAATAGTTGGTAAATTGCCATACCTAAGTAAGCTGTAAACAGAAATCAAGGAAGTTGTGCAGATTAGAATAGATGAATAAATACATAAGAATAAATGAGGTCTTCATCTGGGAGTGAGATCGGATCTTAGCTCCAGCAGGGAGAGATTCTTCTCCACTCTTGGCAGTATCTTGAATTATAAAGGATATATTGAGGGCCTAGCTGCCCCACACATCTGTGGCTTATGGAAATGACCTGTCAGTTATTTAAAAGTCCATGTTTGTCTCTTAATCACCCCTCTCCAAGTTCCTTGGGTTTCTCGATCTTCCTTAGGCATGCCAACCATAGTGTCCAACATAGTACCAGTCAATCAGGAATCACATGTCTTTACATGCAGGCCCCAACCCAGTGCTGTCCTACAGAAAACCACCCAAAAGGGGACAGAGGTGTCATGTTCACCTTTCTTTGGCAAGAGATAATGTTATCTTTTCTATTTTAGTGTTTGGGTGTGAAACAGTCATCTTTTTTACACATAGCTTCTTGGTAGTGACTACAAAGTCAAAATTCACACTGCTTTTCCTAGCATTCATAGCCCTTCACCATCAGCCTTTGCCTCATTTTCCACACTGCACATATCACTCCCCTCAATGGACTCCTTATTCCAACCAGATTGGACTGCTCACTGTTCCTGGCACATGTCTTGTACTTTCCTATCTTCATGCTTTCGTTTGTACTCGTTAATAAATTTATTTTGTAATTCTAATAACCATCTCCTTTTCTGGGTAGTAAGGGAAATTGATAGTATGCTCTTATACTAATAATTAATTATTCATTTGTGGTCCACCTTTTTCCTTTTTATTTCTATCAAGGCCTGTCTCCTGAAAAGGTCAGTCAATCTCTGAAGGGCAAGGCTGAGTGATGAGATTTGCTCCTAGTCCCCAAGGCACACGATCCTTAACTAGGTGTACAGGACTCCACCCAACTGGGAGACCCAGTTTCTGTTTAGAGTATAAGCAGAATCCAGTCTGGGTGAGCATTTGCCTGAGGGAAGAACCCTGGTCCTTGATTTCCTCCATTAGCACTTAGGGCAACCCAGCTTGTAAAAGAGAGAACTAACTAGAGAGGTCCTGATGGAAGTGGCTACCTGCCCAGATGCCTCGAGGCTGCTGAGTCTCATGATCAAACTCAGCAGGAGGAGCGGTAGCCTTTTAGCCCCCTTCCTAATTAAATGTCCACCAGTCAGGGATAGTTTTCACTTGTCAAAGAAGTTCCTTTTCAGAACGGATTTAGGGCGTTTCAGGGTCTCCCTGGGGATCTTTGGTCAGAGAAACCACTGACCATTATTTATTGATTGCTGGCTAGCCTAATTAATAAATTGATTATTAGTTACCAGAAACTCTGTCTCTTGGAGTTTTCATTCATCACAGTAAGGAGAAGGTAGATACAATGGTACTTTCTCTGCTCTTTTTGTTCACTGAGGTCATTGGTGCCATCATTTTATTAGATTGACTCATGAAATAAGGTCTTTTAGCCTTGCTAGTTAGTCAGTAGAGAATATGTAGTTGCCTTTGCTTATGCCTTCTCTTAGCCATTTGAAGACCTATCTACCATCTACCCAGCTCAAATACCACCTCCTCACTGAAATTTTCCCTTATCCTCCCACTCAGTAACAATTTTCCTCTCAGACCTCACTTTTCATATACTATAGATAATCATCATGTATGTTTGTGACTTATCATCCTACTAGACCATAAGTTCCATGAGCACCAGGACCGTATCTTAGCCAATCAACAAGCATTTACATAAATGCTTGATAACATCTCATCTAAAGTTTTTATTTCCCCTTTGACTTAGCTCAGTGCTCTGCACACAGGAAGAACTTAATGATTTTTGAATGAAAGAATAAAAATATGCATTTCCTGAAATATGACTGCCAAGTTGAAGAATGACATTGGCATGTTTGAACATGTCTAGAAGACCAAGACAATGCAAAAGGACTAAAACTATGCAGGCCAGGATCGTCTGAAGGAACTTAAGATATTTAACCCAGAAAACTCGCTCAGAGTTCTCAAATAGAGGAGGTGTTAAACTCTGCTTCCTGTCAGAGTAGAACCAGGGCCAGTGGGGGAAACTGACAGGAAAGATTTCTGGTTAAGATGAGGAGGAAGTTCCTAACTATTAGATGTTTCTCATAACTTTGTAAAAACATCTTTCCAAGTCAAGTCACCAAGAATTTAGTAAGTGCCTGCTATGTGTCAGGCACCGTGCTAAGTGCTGGGTATCCAATCCCTGCCCTCAAGGAGCTCATAATTGAATAAGGGAAACAACCCTGTATAAGCAAGGTATAGAAAGTATGACTTTGGGATCATCTCTGAGGGAAGGCACTTGCATTAAGGAGGATCAGGAAAGGTTTTCTTGCAGAAGGTAAGATTTTAGTTGAGACTTGAGAGAATTTAGAAGGAGAATTCCAGATATGGGGGAACAGGCAGAGAAAATGCCCAGAGACGATCAAGGAGACCAGTGTCTCTGTGTATGGTCTAAGAAGACTGGAAAAGTGGGAAGGGGCCAGGGTGTGAAGGGCTTTAAAAGCCAGAGAATTTTATATTGATCCTACAGATAATAGGGAGCCACTGGAGTTTATTGAATACGAAGGGCGATGTGGTCAGACCTGATCAGTTTGACAGCTGCATGGAGAATGGACTGGAATGGGGAGAGAGTTGAGGCAGGCAGACCCACCAGCAGCTGTTACAGTAATCCAGGTGTGAGTGATGAGCGTCTGCACTAGGCAGTGTCTGTGGTGAGAAGAAGACATACAGGAAATGTTCAAAACAGAACGGGCCGCACGAGGCGGTCGATTGGATGCGGTGGGTGTGTGGTGAGATGGAGTGAGGGGAGTCAAGGATGACACCTCGGTTACAAGTCGGAGAGACTGAGAGGATGGGGGTGCCCTTGACAGTAATAGGGATATTAGGAAGGGGCAAGACTTGAGGGGGTAAACGATAAATGAGGTCAGTTTTGGACATGTTGAATTTAAGATGTCTGCCAGACATCCAGTTTGAAATAGCCAATAGACAGTTGGAGATTTGAGTCTGGAAGTTGGGAGAGAGGTTACGA